GGCCCTTTTCTGTATCAGTATGACTGTGCCCCACGTAGAAAGCCAGCTTAGGACATGGCTTGACCCTTGTGGTATGGAATAACTCGAGTGTCCTGCACGGAGTCCTGACCTCACCTTTACTGAACACCTTTGGGATGAATTAGAATGCCAAACTTGAGCCAGGTCTTCTCACCCAACATTAGTACTTGACCTCACAAATGGGTACAAATTCTCACAGACACCCTCCGCAATCTTGTGAAAAGTCTTCCCAGAAGAGTGGAGGATGACATAGTCATGAAAGACCCAACTCCATATTAACAGCCATGAGGAGATGGGAGGCAAATCCATAAAGACGTGGTTTGACCAGTTTGGTGTAAAGGATCTCGAGTGCCCTGCACAGAGCCCTGACCTCAACTCTACTGAACACCTTTAGTGATTCATTAGAATGCCAAATTTAAACCAGGTCTCCTCACCCAACATTAGTACTTGACCTCACAAATGGCTACAAATTCTCACAGACACCCTCCGCAATCTTGTGAAAAGTCTACCCAGAAGACTGTTATGAAGGACAGGACTCCATATTAATGGCCATGAGGAGATGGGAGGCAACTCCATAAAACATGGTTTGACCAGTTTTGTGTAAAGGATCTCGAGTGTCCTGCACAGAGCCCTGACCTCAACCCTACTGAACACCTTTGGGATGAATTGGAACTCCAGCAGTGAGCCAGATCTTCTCATCCAACATCAATAGCCGACCTCACAAATGGCACAAATTTCCACAGATACCCTCTAAAATCTTGTGGAAATTCTTCCTCCATTAGTGGAGGATGTCATAGTCATGAAGGGGATGACTCCATATTAACGGCCATGGGGAAATGGGAAGGAACTTCATAGATACATGGCTTGACCAGTTTGGTGTAAAGGATCTTAAGTGTCCTGCACAGAGCCCTGACCTCAACCCTACTGAACACCTTTGGGATGAATTGGAACCCCACCAATGGGTACAAGTTTCCGCAGACACCCTCCAAAATCTTGTTGAAAATCTTCTGAGAATAGTGGAGGATGCTAAAGCCACAAAAGGCAAATGACTGAATTAATGGTCATGGTTTTAAAATGTCCAACATGGGGCAATCAGGTATGATAGGTGTTCAATACAATAGCATGGTTTGACCAGTTTGGTGTAAAGGAACTCGAGTCTCCTGCACAGAGCCCTGACCTCAACCCTACTGAACACCCAGGGGATGAATTAGAATGCCAACTGTGTAACCAGGTCTTCTCTTATCCAACATCAGTACCTGACCTCGCCAATGGGCACATATTCCCACAGACACCCTTCAAAATCTTGTAGAAAGTCTTCCCAGAAGAGTGGAAGGTGCTATAGCCACAAAGAAACAACTCCATATTAATGGTTATGGTTTTGAATTGTCCGACAAGCTCATAACAGGTATGATAGGTGTCCACAAGCCACAAGCCAGCAATGGTTGGGCTAATGTGGAGGAACTCGAGTGCCCAGCACAGAGCCCTGACCTCAACCCTACTGTACACTCTTGGTATGAATTGAAATGCCAATTGTGAGAAAGGTCTTCTCATCCAACATCAATAACCAACCTCACAAATGGGCACAAATTCCCACAGACACCCTTCAAAATCTTGTAGAAATTCTTCCTCGAAGAGTGGAGGAATAGTCACGAAGGGGATGACTGAATACAGGGGCGGACTAACAACTCATGGGGCCCCCGGGCAATAGGGGATCATGGGGCCCCTGTGTCCTTGCCCAAACTCAAAAAAGCCTATGAAAAAGGTACCAGGGGCATCTCATGGGGCCCCCTACTGACCCCAGGCCCTCGGGCAGTGCCTGAGTTTCCAAATGGTCAGTCCGCCCCTGACTGGGGCCATGGGGAGATCGGAAGGAACTTCATAGATACATGGTTTGACCAGTTTGGTGTAAAGGATCTCGAGTGTCCTGCACAGAGCCCTGACCTCAACCCTACTGAACACCTTTGGGATGAATTGGAACCCCACCAATGGGTACAAATTTCCGCAGACACCCTCCAAAATCTTGTAGAAAGTCTTCTGAGAATAGTGGAAGATGCTAAAGCCACAAAGAGGCAACTCATATTAATGGTCATGGTTTTAAAATGTCCAACAAGCTCATAACAGGTATGATAGGTGTCCACAAACCACAAGCCAGCAATGGTTGGACCAATATGGAGGAACTCGAATGCCCAACACAGAGCCTGGACCTCAAACCTACTGAACACCTTTAGGATGAATTGGAACGCCAATTTATAACCAGGTTTCTTATCCAACATCAGTACCTGACCTCGCCAATGGGCACATATTCCCACAGACACCCTTCAAAATCTTGTAGAAAGTCTTCCTCGAGAAGAGTGGAAGATGCTGATAGTCACGAAGGGACAACTCCATATTAATAGTCATGGTTTTGATTGTCCAACAAGAACTTCATAGATACATAGGTGTTGAGCCAGTTTGGTGACCAAAGGATCTCGAGTGCCCTGCCAGACCCTGACCTCAACCCTACTGAACACCTTTGGGATGAATTGGAACGCCAATTGTAACCAGGTCTTCTCATCCAACATCAGTACCTGACCTCACCAATGGGCACAAATTCCCACAGACACCCTTCAAAATCTTGTAGAAAGTCTTCCTCGAAGAGTGGAGGATGTCATAGTCACGAAGGGGATAACTGAATTTTAACAGCCATGGGGAGATCGGAAGGAACTTCATAGATACATGGTTTGACCAGTTTGGTGTAAAGATCTCGAGTGTCCTGCACAGAGCCCTGACCTCAACCCTACTGAACACCTTTGGGATGAATTGGAACCCCACCAATGGGTAGAAAGTCTTCCCAGAAGAGTGGAAGATGGTACAAAGGGGGGAAACTCCCTTACTAATGGCCATGGTTTTGCAAGCTCATGCAGGTGCGATGGTTAGATGTCCACAATCATTTCACCGTGTAGAGAAGCAAATTATTACTTAACGGTTAGCCCTGACCTCAACCCTACTGAACACTCTTGGTATGAGTTGAAATGCCAATTGTAAGAAAGGTCTTCTCATCCAACATCAATAACCGACCTCACAAATGGGCACAAATTCCCAAAGACACCCTCCAAAACGTTGTGGAAAGGCTTCCTGAAGAATGGAGGATGGTACAAAGGGGGGCAACTCCCTTACTAATGGCCATGGTTTTTCAAGCTCATGCAGGCGCGATGGTCAGATGTCCACAATCATTTGACCGTGTAGAGAAGCAAATTATTACTTAACGGTTCAAAAACAAACATTGCAGGAAATGATGGAATACGATATCTGTGCCAAGAACTGAATTGTGTGCGGTGGGCGTTGAGGACACATTTTGCCGTCTTTGCCTTGGGTGCTACAGGACCTTGTCTCGGCGCCGAAAATACGGCAATGCGAAATGTTGTGCGTTTATTTGTCCTGATTTACAGCAGACGAAGATCAGATGACATTTTAGGAGCCATTCAGGCAGAAGCCCAGAAAACTCCTTAAGGGCTCTCAAACTTTTTTTTTTTTTACACTGTATAATTATGGGAATTTCTTAGTCTCTAATTTTCCCTTCCTCTTCCCTCCATCTACATGGGAAACCGAAAATCTCCAATCTTCTTCACTTCTAAAATTCCCTAGGCTTGCAGATCCTAAATTATTCTTTATGATTCAATATCTACAGTACATATTCTTTTTTTTTTTTTCAGTAGGAAAGGATAAAATATGAGATGAAATTAAAAATGACTGTTTGCTAAAACGTCGTAGTCAACTGCCATTTTCCCTCCATAAAATGCCTTATTTTCACCTTTTTTCATCTTAGTGCTGCTGATCTCCGGCATCCTCTTTGTAGCTATTTCAGGTCTCCATACACTCCAGCAATGGCGGCATAGCATTTCTCAGGGCGAGTTTCCCCTTGGGGACAACAGCCGACCATGTCTGTGTAATGTGTGTTGGAATGGCCACTTGTAGTCTCTGTTATAAGACCATGTGACAGGGTGACAACCCAGGAACGCAAATTAGGAGGCTGGAAAAAAAAATCGCCCTATAAAAGGAAGTGCCTAAATGTGAACAACGAAAAAGGAACACAAGGGAGCGCCAACTAAGTGCAGTATTAAAACACACGTTTATGAGAAAGTGAATGTAAAAAGAGGAAGGCAGGCATGTCTGACTTATCTGAGGTCTGATGGTGGGCACTAGTGAGGTTCTCCGACTAGACTGATATTTCAGCTCCTCACGGGGCTAAAAGACCATGGGGGACCGCGACCGGAAGAAGCAGGGCCAGCCCCTGGAAAACAACTCCCCACCATAATCCCCCCTCTGCCAAACTTTACACTTGGCACAACGCAGTCAGGCAAGTATCGTTCTCCTGACCACCACCAAACCCAGACATGTCCATCGGAGAAGCGTGATTGGTCACTCCAGAGAACACGTCTCCTCTACTCTAGAGTCCAGTGGCAGCGTGCTTTACACCACGGCATCCGACGCTTTCAATTGCACTTGGTGATGTAAGGCTTGGATGCAGCTGCTCGGCCATGGAAACCCATTCCATGAAGCTCTCTACACACTGTTGTTGGGCTCATCTGAAGGCCACACCAAGTTTGGAGGTCTTTAGCTATTGACTCTGCAGACAGTTGGCGACTTCTGCGCACTGTGCGCTTCAGCATGCGCTGACCCCGCCCTGTCATGTGACGTGGCCTACCACTTGGTGGCTGAGTGGCTGTTGTTCCCAGTTGCTTCCACTTTGTTATAATCCCACTAACAGTTGAGCGTGGAATATTTAGTAGCCAGGAAATGTCACGGATGGACTTATTGCCAGGTGGCCACCTATCACGAGACCACGCTTGGAGTCACTGAGCTCCTGAGAGCGACCCATTCTTTCACAAATGTTTGTAGAAGCAGTCTGCATGCCTAGGGGATGATTGTATACACCTGTGTCCATGGAGGGGATTGGAGCACCTGAATCACATGATATGGGGGGGATTGGAACACTGAATCACATGATATGGAGGGGATTGGAACACCTGAATCACATGATTTGGAGGGGATTGGAACACCGGAATCACATGATTGGAGGGGTTTGGAACACCTGAATCACAATGATTTGGAGGGGATTGGAACACCTGAATCACATGATATGGAGGGGATTGGAACACCACATGATATGGAGGAATCACATGATATGGAGGGGATTGGAACACCTGAATCACATGATATGGAGGGCATTTGAACACCTGGAATCACATGATATGGAGGGGATTGGAACACCTGAATCACATGATATGGAGGTGATTGGAACACCTGAATCCAATGATTTGGAGGGGATTGGAACACCTGAATCACATGATATGGAGGGGATTGGAACACCTGATTCCAATTATTTAGAGGGGATTGAAACACCTGAATCACATGAAATGGAGGGATTGGAACACCTGAATCACATGATATGGAGGGGATTGGAACACCTGAATCACATGATATGGAGGTGATTGGAACACCTGAATCAATTATTTGGAGGGGATTGGAACACCTGAATCACATGATATGGAGGGGATTGGAACACCTGAATCACATGATATGGAGGGGATTGGAACACCGGAATCACATGATATGGAGGGGATTGGAACACCTGAATCACATGATATGGAGGGGATTGGAACACCTAAATCACATGATATGGAGGGGATTGGAACACCTGAATCACATGATATGGAGGTGATTGGAACACCTGAATCCAATTATTTGGAAGGGATTGGAACACCTGAATCACATGATATGGAGGTGATTGGAACACCTGAATCCAATTATTTGGAAGGGATTGGAAAACCGGAATCACATGATATGGAGGGGATTGGAACACCTGAATCACATGATATGGAGGTGATTGGAACACCTGAATCCAATTATTTGGAGGGGATTGGAACACCTGAATCACATGATATGGAGGTGATTGGAACACCTGAATCCAATTATTTGGAAGAGATTGGAAAACCGGAATCACATGATATGGAGGGGATTGGAACACCTGAATCACATGCTATGGAGGGGATTGGAACACCGGAATCACACAATATGGAGGGCATTGGAAACTCCGGAAGCACATGATATGGAGGGGATTGGAACACCTGAATCACATGATATGGAGGGAATTGGAACACCTGAATCCAATTATTTGGAGGGGATTGGAACACCAGAATCACATGATATGGAGGGGATTGGAACACCTGAATCACATGATATGGAGGGGATTGGAACACCTGAATCCAATTATTTGGAGGGGATTGGAACACCAGAATCACATGATATGGAGGGGATTGGAACACCTGAATCACATGATATGGAGGGGATTGGAACACCTGAATCCAATTATTTGGAGGGTGGGTCCAATACTTTTGGCAATACAGTGTATATGTGGTGGTCATGTGTCTACAAATGTTGGCCTTACACTGTACAATGACATGGAGGGCGGGGGCAATGCTTTTGGCAATATAGTGCCAACCTCAACATGAAGCTTGGTCCCACACCCTCCCATCTCTTGGTGGTTTAGTATGACAGGCAGCCTCCTTGACCATTAGGGATGCTCCGGAGGTGGCAAGGGCGGGGCTAACCTTGACTTTTTACAAACCATGAGATTTGCTTGCAACTGGGTCAGTTGGATGCTTCGAGACGCTGTTATTCGCTACTAAAAGCAACCTCCATTTTGATTTTTTTTTTTTTTTTCGGCATCTACTCCCGATAAACTGTCCAGGATTGTGATGGGTTTACTAGAAGGTTGATATTTCTATTCAGCGCCGGATGGCGAACACAGCTGTTGTAGCTTCCAATAGCTCCCCAGCTGTGCTCTTAATTATTTCAATTAATTAGGATAATTGCACTTAGGTTCTGTCTGCCTGAAGAAGCTTTGCAATTCAGGCGGTGATATTTTAAGAATTCGTCTAGTGGCTTCTGCGCCCGGAGAATCGGCTCCGGAATTTACAGCACGTGTAATGAATGTTAGAGCATCTTCAGACTGTTTAGTAAATAGCATCTGCGCTAGCGAGCTCCTGGGACCAATAACCAAAACGTCAACCCGGACCAGTGAGCTGCAGGGATGCCAAGTGCTTACATCTGAAGTGGATGGAGGGAAACTAGTACAGAACGAGTAGATGTACAGATGTTGAATTAGCGGGAATTACCGTAGAATGCGGTCACCATTGTGTAAGACACTTGGAGGGTGTATTTTGTTGTGGGCTTTTGAATTACGTCTCAAAAACATGATTTATCAAGACATAATCCTATATAACATCAAGTCAGCATAGCCGGATGTTAAGGGGTTAATTTGTCTTGGTTGGAAAGTCGAATGACCATCTAGCTAGAGAAATGTAATGGGTGAAGGGATTGTTTTTCTTTCCTCCTAGAGACAATATACCATTTTGAAGTTCTACAGGTGATCAAACACCATTATTCAGACTTCAATAAGCAGGTAAACATATACAAGGTCTGGACATGACAATAGAGGAACCAAACTGATTGTCTGAGAGCTTACCCAAACCTTGTAGAGTGTGATAAACCAAACTATTCCCATATACTATTGTTCACCAAGGGTGAAGGCATTAACAGTTGTTTACCATGAGTCCAATACAAGGGCCAGGCAAACAGAGAGTTTTTTTTCCTACACAGAGGAAATGTTGATTCTGAAACAAAGGGGTGAAATTCAGGACATTTAAGTCTAAAAGTTCACTGTATATAATTACAAAAATATACTACAAAAACAGATTATAAATAAGATGGTATAGATTTTAAACACCACTAAATACTCAGCAATGGGAACTATATATATCACTAACTTGAGTATTGAGATGATGGGAAGTAAGATGTATTATAGACTAGCATTAGTTACATGTCTTATCAGGAAACAAACAGGATGGTACTTCAAGGAGGAATAACCGAATATACACCTATATTCCATGGTCCCTATTTAGAATATCATAGGTATGATCACTGCTATATCTGGAAAGAGCCGTATATTTAATTCCTGAAATTACCTGAAGATTCCACCCAAGGTATGAGTCATCTCAAATACTCACATTGTTCTGTGATACATGACCGCCACCTGGCGGGCAGGTGAGAAATAGCTTATGTACACACATTTCTCAACTAGCCAATCAGGAAGCCTGGTGGGAAGGTATCTTAGAACAATGGACTAGTGGATATAAAAAGCCCATGTGCTTTAAGAAAAAAACCCTCATAAAAACCTCATGGAAAGACCTGATCAAGAAGAAGATCTCTGCTGAACAACTACTCTTCCATCTTTTAAAACTTCCTAAAACTTTAACTAAATTCCTAAACCTCTAATCTTATAACTTCCTACATTCTCCCCTACTGAGAATCTTTCACTTGCCCTATAATATCAGTCCAAAGGCGTTCCACTGCCAGCTAAATCCAGAGAGTTGCCTAGTCTGAATTCCGGGTGTGGTGAGATGTTTATTTGATTTTGTATTAATTATTTTTTTTTTCCGTTGTGTGGAATCATAAAATTATCTTAGTGTATCACAACAATATTGGGTAGTTAGATATATGTAGAGAGATCCTGTTTTACTGTTAAAAATTGTTTATTGCCATATTATAATTTTTTTCATATTTCATAATTTATTGAATATTAATAACCAGAGTATCATATATCAAGGGCTTGCTTCTTGCAATCCTATGGCCACGGCTTGTGAGAATATAACCTTTGAGATATTCGAAATTATTAATTATTAATAAATTTAATAAATAATCATATCATTTAAAAATTGTGATATTGATGTAATTAGTTAGAAACCTTATTAGTGTGTCTTACATTGGTAGGATATATTTTTGATTGTGTGTACCAATATTCATTTATCACCAGTCTTTTGCGTTTTGTGTTAATATATATATAATTTTTGTACATAAATAAATTTTTATATTTATCTATTATAAGGCAAATTTTGTGTGTATGGTACGAAATCATATTGGCTAAAAGAATTCAAGGTATAATAATAAGTGGTGATCAAATTATCAAGGTGTCCAAATTATTGGTTTATTAAATATTTGCCGTATTTTAACGGCTGGAGGCACTGTAATATTTCATCTAAGGGAAAGGGACACGCCCTTTATAAATAATATATATCCTTACATAAACCACCACAATTTATATAACAGAGAACCCGACATTCACCAAACCTTCACCGGAGGCGAATCTCCCAGATGAGGGTGTCTTAGAAGATATTGGATTTACTACAAAGAAATGCTTGGTGAAAGTCACAGCTTTATGAATACGCCCCATATATCTCATCGTGACCTGCTCAGATGTCTCACTGCCAAACTGAGGACTGGAAGTAAACTTCCAGCATTTTCTGAGACATTTAAACCACTAATCCTTCAGAATCATGCTCATAACATTGACTAAAACCTGGTGGAAGGGGGTTCCTTTCCATTCATCTGGTCTTGGTCTAATCGTGGTTTTGGTCTTGGTCTGGTCTTGGTCTAGACTTGGTGCTGGTCTGGTCTTGGTCTAATTGTGGCCTAGTCTAGTCTTGGTCCTGCTCTCGGTCTGGTCTTGGTCTGGTCTTGGTCCTGCTCTTGGCTTGGGCTAGGCGGTGGCCTGGTCATGAGATAAAAACAAACAGGGGACACACCGGCCCAGTGCCCCATATATCTCATTGTGACCTGCTCAGATGTCTCACTGCCAAACTGAGGACTGGAAGTCTTGGTCTGGTCTTGGTCTAGACTTGGTGCTGGTCTGGTCTTGGTGTAATTGTGGCCTGGTCTAGTCTTCGTCCTGCTCTCGGTCTGGTCTTGGTCTGGTCTTGATCCTGCTCTTGGCTTGGGCTAGGCGTTGGTCTGGTCATGAGTTAAAAACAAACAGGGGACACACCGGCCCAGTGCCCCATATATCTCATTGTGACCTGCTCAGATGTCTCACTGCCAAACTGAGGACTGGAAGTCTTGGTCCGGTCTTGGTCTAGACTTGGTGCTGGTCTGGTCTTGGTCTAATTGTGGCCTGGTCTAGTCTTGGTCCTGCTCTCGGTCTGGTCTTGGTCTAATTGTGGCCTGGTCTAGTCTTGGTCCTGCTCTCGGTCTGGTCTTGGTCTGGTCTTGGTCCTGCTCTTGGCCTGGGCTAGGATTTGGCCTGGTCATGAGATAAAAACAAATTGTGACCTGCTCCTGACTAAAATCTGGTGGAAGGGGGTTCCTTTCCATTCATCTGGTCTTGGTCTAATCGTGGTTTTTGTCTTGGTCTGGTCCTGGTCTAGACTTGGTGCTGGTCTGGTCTTGGTCTAATTGTGGCCTAGTCTAGTCTTGGTCCTGCTCTCGGTCTGGTCTTGGTCTGGTCTTGGTCCTGCTCTTGGCTTGGGCTAGGCGTTGGTCTGGTCATGAGATAAAAACAAACAGGGGACACACCGGCCCAGTGCCCCATATATCTCATTGTGACCTGCTCAGATGTCTCACTGCCAAACTGAGGACTGGAAGTCTTGGTCTGGTCTTGGTCTAGACTTGGTGCTGGTCTGGTCTTGGTCTAATTGTGGCCTGGTCTAGTCTTGGTCCTGCTCTCGGTCTGGTCTTGGTCTAATTGTGGCCTGGTCTAGTCTTGGTCCTGCTCTCGGTCTGGTCTTGGTCTGGTCTTGGTCCTGCTCTTGGCCTGGGCTAGGCGCTGGCCTGGTCATGAGATAAAAACAAACAGAGGACGCACCGGCCTAGTGCTCCATATATCTCATTGTGACCTGCTCAGATGTTTCACTGCCAAACTGAGGACTGGAAGTAAACTCAGCATTTCCTGAGACATTTAAACCACTAATCCTTCAGAATCAAGCTCATAACATTGACTAAAACCTGGTGAAAGGGGGTTCCTTTCCATTTGTCTGGTCTTGGTCTAATCGTGGTTTTGGTCTTGGTCTTGTCCTGGTCTAGACTTGGTGCTGGTCTGGTCTTGGTCTAATTGTGGCCTGGTGTAGTCTTGGTCCTGCTCTCGGTCTGGTCTTGGTCTGGTCTTGGTCCTGCTCTTGGCCTGGGCTAGGCGTTGGCTAGGCGTTGGCCTGGTTATGAGATAAAAACAAACAGAGGACGCACCGGCCTAGTGCCCCATATATCTCAATGTGACCTGCTCAGATGTTTCACTGCCAAACTGAGGACTGGAAGTAAACTTCAAGCATTTACTGACATTTAAACCACTAATCCTTCAGAATCAAGCTCATAACATTGACTAAAACCTGGTGGAAGGGGGTTCCTTTCCATTCATCTGGTCTTGGTCTAATTGTGGTTTTTGTCTTGGTCTGGTCTTGGTCCTGCTCTTGGCCTGGGCTAGGCGTTGGCCTGGTTATGAGATAAAAACAAACAGAGGACGCACCGGCCTAGTGCCCCATATATCTCATTGTGACCTGCTCAGATGTCTCACTGCCAAACTGAGGACTGGAAGTAAACTTCAAGCATTTCCTGAGACATTTAAACCACTAATCCTTCAGA